GGCTCAGCTCGCGCTCAGGTACCAAACTTCCCTCGAGCACCGGGGGCTAATGTTTTTAGCCTCCTCTGCTAGCTCACGTTAGCTACCGGGCTGACCGGTGAGCAGAGCCGGTATTTACCGGCGGGCCTCTCCGAGCTCACAGGTGATGACTCTAGCCCACCTCCACACCTCAGACCCGCGCGCCTCCATCAAACAGCCGCGAACCACTCCAGGAAGCTAACATGGACGGTGTCGAGCAAATATCGCTCCAACTCTCGCGATATTGATGTAACGCGGATACGGAAGTCATTTTAAGTTGAAAACGTGTCTTTTTTACAGTCGTTGATTTTCATCAAAGTTTGATATCATAAACAGTAACATCTGGAAACATCTGCTCCATCATCCACAAAGGCAGAAACATCCAAAGAAGAGCTTCAGGGAGCCCGGAGAAGTTTGTGCTGTGAGCTGCGCAGAGCTCGCAGCATTTCCAGGTATCTACTCGCATTTTCCTGCAAACGATGGAGAAACGATGGTTGTTCAGCTGCATAAAAATAGCAAAAAGTGGAAAAAACTTTTTAAGCTTTTGCCATAAATTCAAAAATAAATTATCACTATCAAATTTGTCTTTAAGGCTTTTTCTCATTCTCAATTGTAAAACTCGCTCTGCAGAAACCATTTAAAGAAAAGGTTCCTGCTGATTTCTACAACACACATCAGCCAGTTCATGATCACCTGATTTCAGAACAGCTGTGATTCACTTTACGTGACGTCACTCATACTTGCCGGTGAGCTCCGGTTAGTTTCCAGCAGTAGATGCAGGTCTGAAGCTACAGGCTGCTCAGCACTGTGATGTTAGTCTTTCATCAAACACAAATAAAAACATGCTGCAAAGTACAAAGTAGTCTCATTTAACACTTTTAAACATTTCAGATTTCCTTCTGAATCTCTGCCTTAAAATATGTAAATAAAAAATATATACATTTCCTGCCAGCATTCTCAGACTTGACCTTAGAGCACACGTGTCAAACTCCAGGCCTCGGGCCGGTGTCCTGCAGGCTTTAGATGTGTCCTTGATCCAACACAGCTGATTTAAATGACTAAGTGACCTCCAGAGGCCTGGTAATGAATCATCTGATTCAGGTGTGTTGGCCCAGGGTGAGACCTAAAACCTGCAGGACACAGACCCTCGAGGGCTGGAGTTGCCCACCCCTGGGCTTAAGTAACAAGCTGAACATGTGTTCTGAGCACGCTCAGAAAACAACAGAACTGGAGCACAAAGTTCGAACCTCCAGGTGAAGCAGGAGAAGAACGAGGTCGACTCACACAGGAAGTTCATCAATAGGACATTTTATTTCATACGTCTGTTGTCTTTATTCAAATTACAGTAATATACTTGCTGAGATGACCACCGGCTGCAGCCCGGACAGCTAAAACTCACAGCTGTACTACTAGAAGCAAACTTAAATCAGTTTTTAAAATTATTTCGCAACAGAAAAAAAAAAAAAAAAAGCAGGTATGCCAGGAGACGTGTGGTGTTGGCGGTGACGTCAGGTCTGTTTTAGTGCTGTGGTCTTTAA